CTACCCCCGCTCCCTTCCACAACCTCCCTCTTGCTCCCAAAGCAAATCCCCAGCAGGTCACGGGGTCCGACCCTGCCAGCACTGTGACCCTGAGGAGCACGGTGTGCTCCATGCAATCTCCCCCAGATTTTCATCCCAGCGCTCCCGTAACCGGGAGACGTGCGGCACGCCTCAGGTCACTACCTGATGCTGGGTTCTGGTGGCAAAGCAGGCGTGTGCCCTGCAGGGTGCTTGCTCTGCTCTGGTCCTGGCCAGCCCAGAGCTCTCTCCTGGCTCATAGCTGTGTGCTGGAGACACCCACGCGCCGCAGCACGTATGTACCCACACATCTGTAAAAATAGCTATTGTAATCTCCCGATTCTTGTTTTTGTCATGCTGGTTCCCGTCGGTCTCCGGGGGTGTGCGGGGTCTGCCCAGCACAGCCCTGCTCGTGTACAGGGCTCTGCCAAGGGTGCCAGCAATTCCAGCCCAGAGGATGCCAGCGCTCCCCATGGGGATTTCCAGTGCCTTGCATTCCCGACCTCCCTTCTTCCACCTGTATTTTGGATGTAGACTTGGATTGTTCGACACTGAGGGCAGCAAGCAGAGTCAGTTCTGCCAGGGCCCGGCCAGGCTGGGCAACCTCCCTTCGATAAACATGGATTAACACGTAACACCCCGGCATACTCCAGCACGAACTCCCTTCTCCAGCAAGTCATTCTAAGCGATTATCGCAACTTCTTGGGTTTATTTTTCCCCTCCCTGCCATTACACAGCAAGTTCTGGTTATTGAGTCAGCTCCCCGGTGGCAAGGCAGGCGGCTGCATTTTGCTGTGTCACGGTCCGAGAGAGCCCTTTAACCCCCGGAGCTGGCGAAGGCTGCTTTCCACCTGCCTTTCACTGCGTGCTGCCCTCCCTGCCTGCCACAGCCCGGCGTGGAACAGCGTTTCCCGCATGGGTTCAGGAGAGCTGAACATGGAGAGCACTCCATGACTGTCTGTGGAGCTAGACATTTCTGACTCTAAGTCTATTGGCAGAACATGATGTGAAGTCTATAAAGAGAAAGAAATCCTCCGCTTCCCCATCCCAGATGAAAACACTGACCCCTCAATGAATGTCTGTTGTTGTTAACCATTTGTCTACACCATCTTTTGGCTAAGCATTTTCTCAGGGGCTGGGGATGTGCAGATGGAGGCTTTTAAGCCCCACAGGAACTATTATAAATATCTTGCCTGGGGCTACTTGATTCATCTTTGCTAGAAATCATAGAATCACAGCATGGTTTGGGTTGGAAGGGACCTTAAATACCATCCAGTTCCAACCCCCCTGCCACGGGCAGGGGCACATTCCACTAGGGAAGGTTGCTCAAAGCCTCATCCAGCCTGGCCTTGAACACTTCCAGGGATGGGGCATCCACAGCTTCTCTGGGCAACCTGTTCCAGTGCCTCACCACCCTCTCCGGGAAGAACTTCTTCCTGATATCTAATCTAAATCTCCCCACTTTCAATTTAAACCCGTTACCCCTTGTCCTGTCACTACAGGCCCTTGTAAAAAGTCCCCCCCAGTTTCCTTGTAGTCCCTTCAGGTACTGGAAGGTGCTATAAGGTCTCCCTGGACCCTTCTCTTCTCCAGGCTGAACAAGCCCAACTCTCTCAGCCTGTCCCCATAGCAGAGGTGCTCCAGCCCTCATGGTATCTTTGTGGCCTCATCTGGACTCACTCCAACAGGTCCATGTCCTTCTGATGTTGAGGGCCCCAGAGCCGAATGTAGACTCCAGGTGGGGTCTCATGAGAGCAGAGTAAAGCAGGAGAATCCCCTCCCTCGACCTGCTGGCCATACTTCTCCAGATACAGCCCAGGGTACGATTGGCTTTCTGGGCTGCCAGCGCACACTGCCTGGGCAGTTTCATTGGTGACCACGCACATCACCCTCAAAGCATGTAGCTCTGGCACCACCAGGCACAGCTCACTGGAAGAGAAGGAGATGACAGACCTCCTGGCAGGCATGGTGGGGACCACACGTCTGACACTTCCATGAGATTCAAGCAATATCTCCTAATGAATGGGATGAGGGCTGGCCTCTGCTTTCCCATGGCCCACTACACCCAAGGTGAGTTGCTCTGGGAGCCAGTTTGCTCCTTCCCCCAGAAGCACACACCTCCTTCCCTGTGCATCGCTCTCAAGTGTCAACTCCCAGAGTTCCCCTCTAGGTCCCTCGCAAACTGCTGCCAGCGCATCGCACACTCAGCATCATCAGCCTGCCCCACACCGCATAGCAACAGCACAGCAGGAGCAATACAGGGCACTGTGTAGGGCCAGCAACAGCAAAAATGATGACACCCCACTTTCAGTTCTCCTTCCATCTTGCTACAGGATGTCTGGGCCTTTCCAGAAAGCTGGGCCGGGTGACATGGCTGCTCCATCCCAAGTAACCCTGCTCAGCTAGAGATCAGACAGCATAGATCAGTTCTGGGGCACGGCTTGCTTGCCTGCCCCTGTGGAAAAGCTCGCAGCAGAGGTGAGCTGCAGTAGGGACCTTATCTCTGGTGAGCCCAGGGGAAGGTAAAGCCCCAGGGTCCAAAGGCAGGTGCATTGGCTCCATGCCCTGGGGCAGTGTGGTTATGAGCCAGGACTTCTTCCTGGGAAGAAGTATCCTATCTAGAATGGCACTGACGTGACTAGACACACTCTCTCTCTTCCCCCCAGTCTCACATCCACATCTACCACAACCCTGGATGGAAAGGATGGAGGAGGACCTTGTGGATGCATCCTTTATAGTGCTTCCAAGCATGCAACTTCTTGGAAGAAAGCAGGCAATGGACAAAAGCACTGGGTGAAAGCAACCAGAAAGGCTTTGGGGAGGAACTGAATGCATTACCAGACCTGCAGAAAAGAGGTGAAAGGAGGGGCAGGTCTTGAGGTTTGGGGGTTTTTTTCATATTATTTCATAAAATGAATAATATGGCTCATTTTCATATTCTCATATATTTCTTACCTCCCTCCACCCGAACTACAGGTTCAATCTGTTCTCCAGCTTCCCATATCAGAATAGGACTCACTGAAAAGAACAGAAAACGTGATCTTTAAGGAGCGATGCCAGAGGGAAACGTTCATTTCAGGGCTGTCCCTGTGGCAAAACAGCATCAATGTTTTCAGGGGGGCCTGGCCATGCAGCCCTATGCTCCCGTGGACTCTGCACAGGAGCCCTCTTGCAGGGGACGTGTAGGGCTTTGTCACACTCACTGTAAAGATTCAGCCAGCCCGACAGATTTATTTTACCTCACAGAAAACCAAGCAAGCCAGCAGCAAGCCGTCTGCAGTGGCACAGGGTAAGAGGGGAACGTGACAGCTGTTGCTAACATGCACTGTTGCTTTAAAAGTCAAAAGCAAGACAGGAAAAGTCTGGCTGAGTCAGGGTGGAAGCGCTGAGTAATCCTTCCTGAGCCCTGCACCCTAGCCAGATGTCTGTCCCAGTCCAAAACAAGCGTGGAAGGACATTTCTTGCAGGACACGTCTCTAACCCTCAGCACCCACCCCAGCTGTGGCCAGGCGTAGGTGCAGTGGCCGGGAGACACGTGCCCTGGGTGGCAGCACCCACCAGCAAAGCCCACAGTGGACTCCCTAGAAGGGACAATGGACAGAAGGTGCCACGGTCCTTCCCTCTCCTACCCAGGCTCTACCACCCTACCAGCCCCTCCACGACTGCCCCACGGGGCTTTCCCAGCCCCGCAGCAGCAGGGGAGTGGTGGCGCTCAGTGCCCTGCTCCTTGGGTTGAGCACCCAATCTGGGCTTTGCCGAAACACAGCTGGCTGATGCATCGTCCGTCCCGGCTCGCCCTGCTTCCGGCACTGCCACGGTTGGAAAAGAAAGGCCCCACTTTATCTGTTGGCCACTTCACCGGGCAGAAGAGGCAAGCAGCCAGCTAGCTACTGGCAGAAGCACCTTTTCCAACTCTCTTTTCCCAAATCAGACAAATTACTTCCCTTTGAAAGCATCTGCAGGCTTTCCTTGGTTTCCCCCAAGTCTTGCATTGCATCTTTTGAACCCACCAGCTACCCCAGCCTCCTGGGCACCTAGGAGGGGGAGTGCTACTCTCCTGAGCCACCCTGCACTCAGCTGTGGGAACAGCAGGGGCCAGTTGCCACACAGCCACTGTTTTTTCCACGCACAAGAGCGTGTGGAAAGGCTCTCTCGGTGCATCAGTGCCGGCACACCCCCACTGGCTCCATGCAAAGAGCTGGGGTTCATTCCCAGCGCCCAAGGGCTGTGCAAGGGCAGTTCTGGTACTCGCAGACCGGAGCTGGCGTACGCATGTGCCGCAGCAGCCGGATCACCCCGCGGTGCCCAGGGTCCCTGCCGTGCTCCCTGCCGTGAAGGGGGGGTGTTGGTAACCTGTAGCGCTGAGCTCCCCATCCCATGGCCAGGAAGGACTGCGTGACACGAAGAGACGCTCTGGAGACGTGCGCAGCCACGGGAAACAAGATGCTTATCCCTGCGTCGCGCAAGGGCAGACGAGGACGGGTGTTGTCTCAGCTCCCCAGGCAGGGTGCATGGACTGGGGTCTAGGGAGAGGAGGCTGCCCACCCCAGGCTCCGGAAATCCACCTCTCCTTGTCCAACCCTCCCCCAGCCCAAGGAGCACCTCTGGCAGCATGGGGGCTCTGCCGGCCGTGGGCACTGCCTGGAAAGGGTTACAGAGCCGGGCACCCTTGCAGAAGTTCGTGGCCACCCTCGCTGGCGCTTAGTAGTCAAGCGGCATCAGGTGACTCCTCCTGGTCCCCCGGGGCTGCGGGCGAGCAGGGGCTGACAGCCGCTGGGAAGGGAAGTGCCGCTGTGTTGCAAGAGGTTGGTGCTCGCCCTGAGGTCAGCGTGGGATGCTCACGTGGCCGCCAGTATAAAGCTGGATGCGGGAGCCGGGCTGCCCAGCGCAGAGGCGTCGCGGTGCTGGGAGCAGCCGGGACGGAGGAAGGCGCGAGCGGCAAACACAACAGGGAAGCAGAGGAGCGGGACAAAGCGGAGAGACATGGAAACTTCCCAGACACACGGCTCCGAAGGGTGAGTGCGGGGCGGGAACAAGAGGGACGTTTTTCAGCCGGAGTGCTGTGTTTCTTCCCCGGGTTTTAGGCACGCTGTTCCTGTTCGTGCTCTGCAGGGAGCAGAGTGCTCCTTGCTTTCACCTCTGGCTGGAGCCTGTCGGTCTTCCCCGCTCGGGACAGCGTCTGTGATGCTGCTGCTCCCCTGTTCCCACCCGTGGCTCTCGGGAATGCTCTGCTCCTTTGCCTGCCATCCCAGGCTCCCCCTTTTTTTTCCTAGAGAGCTCAGGTCCGTTCTGCCAGAGGCGAGCGACAGCCCTGACATCTCTTTTCCTGCTCTTCCCCAGCATGTCCAGGGACCTGTCAGAACTGATGAAGGAAGCCACCAAGGAGGTGCACGAGCGGGCAGAGAACACGCCGTTCATGAAGAATTTCCAGAAGGGGCAGGTGTCTCTCCAGGAGTTTAAGGTACGTCCTACCAGCGTTGCTTGGAGATGGGATTTCCTTCCCAGGAAACACTCTGTTAGGTCAGACAGGGCTGTGCAGGGACTGACGGGGGAGAAGGGGGATGGCACAAGGAAGGAGATGCTTTGCATTACAGCTGTATGGTGTCAGCATTCCTGTGCAAAACACGCTCGTGATCAAACTCCAGCACCCTGAGATCGTACCGGCTCCCGGTGCCGAAGGCAGGGCAGGACTGTGCACAGCAGGATGGGCAGCCAAGCTGAAACAGGATAAAAACACAGAGAGGTTGATGGGATCAAAGCAGTTGCTTTTCTCTTTCTCCGTAAGTGACTGAATGTTAATTACTGCCAATAATGGAGATAAGACAGTGTGCAGATACTTGAGTGGCTGAAATGCCAAAACGAGGGAGAATCCTAAATTTACAACGCTCTAAGAAACTACAGCTAGAAATGCTGATGGAACAGTGAGAAAGCGAGGGTGCGGGATCATGTCTGGCACTGCACTTTGCAATGTGTCTGGGTTATACCAGAGCTGAGATCCCGAACAGTAATAACAACTCACAGGCAGGCTGAGTTTGAGCAAGCACGTCTGCTGCTAACAGGTAGGAGCCTGTTGCTTCTCTTGAGAGAAGACAGAAACATTTACAGATACTAGTCTGCATGATTCCTGGGATCTGAGCCACACAACAAAGCCATGAGTGAAAACAAAGCACACACCTGAGCCAGAAATTCCTGGGAGGCTATAGGATGTGACGCACGGGCTTGCAAATAACAGCTAGCAATCCAACCTGTGGTTTAATTACTTTGTTGTCGAATTGTTCCTTGGCAAATAAATCCACAAGAGTGGGGAAAAGACTACTTATTTCTGACAGGTTGCATTCAGGATGCTAAATCAAGCATAAATTTAATCTCAGGTGCTGGCTTCCTGTGGTTAGAAACGTGGCGTTGGTTAGGCAGTGAACGTTGAGACAGGCTGGCGATAATGTAAAAAGTGAGGCCTTCAGGAATACATCTCAGTTTGTTAGAAGGTAGGTGCATGCTGTCAGGGAGAGCGAGGTGTGACGTGGGTTTTAATAAGTAACAACCATTTTCAAAAGTCAGCGTTTCCCATTAAACCACTACCTGCCTCTGCAAACAACCACGCAACTTATATTTCTTGTTAGGCAACCTTCCCATATTTTGTTTCTTTTCCAGTAAGCTGGATAACAGGTTTTTGTTTAAAAAAACCTCTATTTTTGTTTACTCTCTTGGCAAACCTGCCCTGACACGTGACTCCCCAGAACCTGAATATTTGTTTCCACAACCAAGCCCCAGCCCATGCGCTTATCAAAGTCCTGTTTGCCGGCACAGCGGGGAAGAGTTGAAACGGCACCTCCTTTACTGCAGAACTGATTGCTTGGTGGGAAAGGAAACTGCTTTCTCTCCTGTCACCAGTGTCACCCCCCTCCCCCCAGCCTGACTCACCTGTACTGCAATACCTTTGTGTTTTACCCTTTGCTGCTGATAAGGGGTTCCCATGTAGGGAAGGGGTGGTGTAGGTGGAAAGGTGTATATAGCCTCTGCACGCAGAATGCCCAAGGAAGGAAAGAACACAGCTAGATTGTCATGGAAAAGCTGGCGGATAGAAGAAAGTATCGCGTAAGCTGGGAAAACCAACAATAACAATGGTTTCAGAACAGAGAGGAGAGCATGCAGCCTCGCAGCACTCCTTCACAAAGGCGTCTTTCAGAGGCGAGATGTGCTTTCCAGCCCCCTTTTATCTTCTCTCCTCGGGGCAGCCAAAGAGCCAACCCCACTTTTGGAAGTCTGAGCGAGGACGGCAGTGATGCCTTGGTTCCCAGGATAGTGGGGTGACGACAGGACAAATGTGTTGAAAAATAAACAGGGCCTGTCATTGTCTCGTAAGGCTCCACAAAAGGAAGCCACATCTTGAAGCATTCAGATTTGAACAATGCACCAGAAAATACACCTTTGGGAATACCCTCTCTGTTGACTGAGGGCATGGAGAGAATAGACCAGGCATGATTGCACGGGGCTCTAGTTTCCATTACATGGAGCTGCAAGAACTTTAACTTGAAGAGGAAGGCGGCAGCTTTTAAGGGCAGGTAGGACCAGTGTGCTGCACAAGGGCTTAGGTCTCACCTGCTGGTGCCTCAAGCAGAAGGGGAAGGGCTGAACCCTGTATCACTGCACCTTGCCACTCTGTTTTCCACATGGGAAGCCTGCAACACCACAGACGGGTGTGTGCACGATGGGTGCGTGCACGAGTAACTTCAGGAGGATTTGTCCCGAAAACCTGAAGAAGGCATGTGTACCTCACCCTCTTCCTTCTGTTTCAGATGGTTACGGCATCCCTGTACTTCATCTACTCTGCTCTGGAAGAAGAGATTGAACGTAACAAGAACAAGCCCGTTTATGCCCCTGTGTATTTTCCGGCGGAGCTGCACCGGAAGGCTGCCCTGGAGAAAGACTTGGAGTACTTCTACGGCAGCAACTGGAGGAAAGACATCCCGTGTCCTGAGGCTACTCAGAAATACGTTGAGAGGCTCCACTACGTAGGCAAGAGCCACCCAGAGCTCCTGGTAGCCCATGCCTACACTCGGTATTTGGGAGACCTGTCTGGGGGGCAGGTGCTGAAGAAAATTGCCCAAAAGGCCCTCCAGCTGCCCAGCACTGGGGAAGGGCTGGCTTTCTTCACGTTCGATGGAGTCTCCAACGCCACCAAGTTCAAGCAGCTCTATCGCTCCCGCATGAATGCCCTCGAGATGGATCTTGCCACTAAGAAAAGAGTCTTGGAGGAGGGCAAGAAATTTTTTATATTCAGGTGAGTAACAACCAGCCATCCCTGCCTGCCCACACCCTCTCTGAAACAAGACAATAGCTACAGGGGAAAGGCAAAGCCGGTATTTCTGGGGAAGCCATTGGGAAGTTGAGGATTAGGGCAAGCAAGTCAGTGTTGGATGGCTACACTTGTCCAACCTGCGTGCCTAGTAAAAAGCTGGTCTCTGAAAAGCTCTCTCCTTCCCCTGGGGTTTGAATTCAGCCTCTTCCATGTGCCACTATTCAGGTATAGATGAGGGCTTAGACTGGGAGTGGGGATCACCATCTCTGTCCTGCCTCTGCAGTACAGCTCCACGGATCCTCTGTGGGTGCTGGCTAGAAGCACAGGTACCTTGCTCTCCTTCCTATCAGAAGATGGGCAATAGCCTTCTCCTGAGCTGGAAGCTTCAGGGAGAACCTGCAAAGTGAACAAGGAGTTTGAAAGACATGCTCTTGACCCCACAGGCAGATTAAGTTCTGTGCAAAAAGTGCCAGGAGGCTGGGACTGAAGGCTTGTGTCTTCCTCTAGTTCCTAAAGTGCCTGGGGCAGGGGCCAGGGGTCCAGTGAAAGAAGAAGAGGAGGCCACATAATGACAGTGTCCTTTCTTCTCAGGTGTTTGAGGCGCTGCAGGAGCTGGTGTCTAAGGGCCCGGAGAATGGCTTCCCTGTGCAGCCGAAGGCAGAGCTTCGCACAAGGAGCGTTAACAAACCATCTGAGCACGGTAAGACACTTCGGCAGGCAGGTGTTTAACCCAGCTCCTCGTGGTTTTCTTCTCCTCCCCTCCTCTGCTCTTGTTTGTAAAAGCCACCGAGAAAGGAGCATGAGGGGCTTGCCCCGTCTCTCCTCCAGCCGTCGGTAGGCAGTGCAAGGAGAGGCGCTGGTGTGTGTGAAGCTTCTCCCAGACATGACAGGGCAAGGATGACACGTGGGCTCTCCAGAAACAGTGTCAATAGAGAGACTCCTGTCTCCTTCTCGTAGGCTTTAACAAGTTAAGGTTCATTAGCCTCAGGAGCTTCGACCACAAGGAAGACTGGCCTTGAGCTCACAGAAGCAAAGGCTGCGGTTCTGAGCCCAGATCAGCTGGGATGCTGCGAGGCTGACCGGAGTTTCTTCCAGACACACAGGTCTATCGAACAGGCTGTCCTTCTGGAGTAAATCTCCCTCTGGTCATTTTCCTGCATTCTAGAAGTATTTCCCGAAAACACTTCTCCCAGGTGTGCTGGGTTTATCATGAGCATTGTCCTGGGTGGTGAAACGTAACCGGGTGGGAAGCAGGGATGCTGGTGGGGCTGCCCATCAGCTTTGCAAAGATCAAAAAGCTCCAGCTACGGGCAAACACCAATCCCGAACTGGGCAAAGCCGGAGCGGTGGCTGGCAGCAAAGCAACCCCTTTTCAGGGAGTCAGGCTCGTGACCGAGTGAGGAGCCGGCTCAGAGGAGAGTGGTTTCCCTGTGAACATGTGATTCAAAGAAAAAAGCCCTTATGACCTACACGTTCTGAAACTAAAAAGGAGATTTTCCAGTGTGCACGGGATTGGACCACCGTTTTCCCATGGCGAAGAATAAATAGCAAACCTCGTCTTGCACATATCTAGCCAATGAAGCTTAGAGCAACGTCTTTGGGAAAGACGGTGGAAGTTCTCTGTGAAACTTTGCCGCTCCTTTGCCAATACACTCGTAAAAGTAGGATTTTTAGAAAAGTTTGGTGTTGGTTGAGGAATCACATCCTGAAGCTGTACTGGGACAATTATTTGTCTGCAGTGCGAAGGACTACTTGTTTAAGGTCATTCGATGCCCAACCAATTAAATCAATGAGACGTAGGAGAAAAAATGCCCTTTAAAATCCTGGCCTAAATACTTGGCCGTCTGCTGCACACCTAAGGGCTTTGGTGGAGCTGGGCAGTGCGTGGAATAAGCCTGTAAGGAGACCAGGGAAGAGGCTGGTCCTCAAGTGCAGGCAGAGGGCTTGTGAGTCTGCGATTCCCAGCTCAAGTCTGCTGCTTCCCTTCTTCTGTCTCTGAGCTTCCTCCTTCTTCTGCCAACCCCGCCGGGGTCTGCTCCGGCACCGGGGAGAGCCACTGGTGGCATACCAGTGGCCTTTTGCCTGAACTTGTTCTCATCCTTTTTTTTTTTTTTCCCCTTTTCCTCTCTGATCTAGGTCCAGCTCCTGGGAAAGAAAGCGAAAGGACAAACAGGAGGCAGACAGGCATCATTCCCTCCACTCCCCTGGTGCGGTGGATCCTGGCGCTCAGCTTCCTAGCCACGACAGTCGCCGTGGGCTTATTTGCCATGTGAAGAAGCTAGATCTTCGCCTTCTCTTTGTGGCTTCCATCACCCTGAACTAATCCACCTTCCCCACTCCTTCTGAGAGAAAATCCCTCTGACTGGGTACTGTGATCTTGGCTCTGCCACTAATATTAGGAGACTTTTCTCCCCAGAAATCAAAGAGAGGTCTGTAAGGGGGTTCAGGCAAAGTCTCTCCCGTGCTTGGTGTGAGCTCTTCTCAGAGACTAACTGCATCACTGAACAGGAAGGGTAGAAAAGGCTAAAAACAATGGCCAAGAACTGTCATTGCTTCAGAGTGCCTGCAAAAATCCTAGAGGATGTAGCTTTGACATCTGCCTCTCCTCAGAAATACAAAGCTCCCCAGAGCTCTGTGTGCTCAATTTTTTATACTGCTAGATAATGCTGTGATCACTTTTCCTGTGGAGCCACACAGCTCCTGTGGGTTACAGACTGTTTTGTATGACACTAGTAGGTCTTTGTTAATTCTTTTTCCAATCATTTTTGTTTTAAAAAGCAGAAGACGGTTGTTGAAGATACGGTGTCATTCTCTTGTCTGGTTATATAATTTATACACATAATAAAATTCAACATAAAGTCTTCAGGCCTGGTGTTTCCTATTGTTAAAGCCTTACCTGGGGAGAAGGGAGGTGTCTTTCTTCCTCCCAGTGTTATATCTTTTGGACCTGCTGCCTCCAGAGATGTTACAATAGACAAAAGTGGGAGCAATCATCAGAGCCAGACTCTGCTCCCACTCAGTGCTAACAATAACCTGTTACAAGCTGGGGCAGGTTTCTTCAGCTCCTACATGCTGGTCTCTATTTCTAGAAATGGCATGAAATTCTGTGAGCGTATAAAGTCTCTGTTAAGGGGTGGAAGCCATACCTAAGAGCTGGTTGCTATTCTATTAAAAGCAAAAGGTGACGAGACCCTTAGCCAGTCCAAATCAAGACAGCTCTGCCTGACCGCTGAGGGCTCCATTGCCAGGCTGCCTTTGCAGGAACTTCAGCATGAATCAGAAAAACCAGGATATTTTCACCTCCCAGAAATGAAACACACACTAGGTTTTGATGCTACGAGGCAGCTAAATGGGAGATATCAAGCATGCAACTGCACGCCCTCACCTAGGTAACAAACCAACCGGGCTGACTCTCAGGACTCTGCATGCACATGGCATTGCTAAAGGGGCTCCAAATACACGGCACCGCTGGAGCTGCCTCAGCACAAAGCGGGGAAAGATCTGCAGGTCTGGCTTTGTGGCCAGCCACTGTTACAGCCATAGGCTCTGGCTGCTTCAGAGGGTCTTCTAACACAGAGGCCACTGCAGGAGGGGCTGCAGTTCAGGTATGGCACAGCAGGTACCAACAAGGCCATTAGCAGAGTCCTGAGTCCTCTCCTCTCTTCCTACCAGAAAGCCTCTGTGATCAAACTGTCTCCATGATGCCGCCTGTTCTGGCTGTGATTTTTTTCCTACAGATCTGTTTTAATGACCACCACTGAACCTGCTCAAAGAGCAAGAATCAGAAGGCAGGCCCTGCTGAGAAGCAGCAGTGGGAAAGAGGAGCTGTCATTATTCTCAGGCTCTTATCTACCCTATATCCCTTCCAAAATCCCCTTTAATACTTCAACCTCTGGTAGCAAAACCAGCTAATTATTAAAAGAGATAGTTAGATGTTTGAAAAGCAGGGATATGAGGCTTGATAGATATTCAAATATAAGAACTTGTTAATTTATTCAGATTTATAGTAAGCTCCACCTATTCAGCCACTCTAACCCCTCCAACTAAATCATTACGTCCACTCAACCATGCTAAGTAACTAAACATCCCAAAGACGCAAATGCACAGCCATGAGCTCAGAAACGCGCTCTGTCACACTCAGCCCTTCTCCACTGCCCAAAGAGATCGTAACTGTGATGTCCAAGTTGGGAAACCTGGATTCAGGCTGACATCATCCCCTCCCTGCTCGCGGCAGAAGAGGTATGGTGCTTTGGGTATCTCACAGCCATTTTGCTGTCACACACACAAGGTCTCCAGACTGTATGGAAAATCACACTACCGGGAGTCAGTATTCACAAAGGAAAGAGAGGAGTCCTGTAAAAAAATAGTAATAAAACTTTATTGGAATAAAGGGAGAGTCCACAGGACATATTCCTGTGGAGTCTCTCAACCTACAGAGGGACACAGCCCCCTTTTATCCTACTTTTCCTGACAGGAAGAGACCCTCCTCATTTCCCCATTGGCTGAGGTACCCTGAGTGTACAGACTTCACGATCTGCCTGAGACTTTCAAGACAAAATGTTCATTTGAAACAATCAAGATATTCATGTTATTTACATATTCCAGATATTCAGGTGATTAACACATTTAACACATTCAGGAGATAATGTTGTTTAGATATTCCAGATATTAATTTACAT